CGAAGCCACCCCGGCCAGCCCCCAAGCTGCTCTGTCCCAGGTGTCCCCAAGTCAGCTGCTGCTGAAACTGATCAGGGGCTGATTCCAGGAAGCTGGGGCAGAGCAGCTCTGCCTCCGGCTTCCTGGAGTCAGCCGCTGGTCAGTATCAGCAGCGGCTGAATTGGGGACAGCTGGGGTGCTGCCTGGTTGGTCCCGCAGCCCCGAGGGGCAGCGCTAGGGGACTTACCCAGCAGCACTCCAGCTGCTCTGCCCCCGGCTTTCCTGATTCAGCCGCTGGTCAGTTTTAGCAGAGGCTGAATAGGGGAAGCTGGGGGCAGAGCAGCTCCAATGGTCCAGCTGCCCAGAGCACTTCTGGGTTCCTGATGGTGCCGGACCATCAGGAGTGCCGGACCGTCAGATGCCGGACCATCGGAGTTTTACTGTAGATAGAAATTTAATGTTGAAAGACTGTAACTTTGTTAAAGTGAGTAGAAGGACCCTTTGTTCTGTGCTGCAATTGTGTAAATGTATTGCTTGTGTGAATGAGAGAGAGAATGTTTTAGGAGAGATAGGTGAGAAGGCCACTGCATGCCCAAATGGTCAGAGGAGGGGGTGAAGACTGAGAAGCACCAAATAATTATCAACTAAGCTAAAGCACACTGAAGACACAAACTGGACCAACACAGACTGATGAACCCTGAAGTTAGTGGCAAGCACCCTTTGATAGGGAACCGATAACAACTTTCGCTGGAAGACTACTCCCCCGAGGGGTCTTCAGCACACTGATATCAGAAGACTGCGAGAACAACTGCCAGATTAATGTATGTTGCAGAAAGACTGATTAAGGCCTGACCAGGCAAAATGCATAGGCTCACATGGAAGAAAAATCCTACAAAGGATAGGGTGTCTTGTATGGTTTTTCGGGTTCTATCCTGCTATGACTTGGAGCATCAGTCCGGACTGACACGAACCCGGTCCTCTTTCATATTCAATTTATCTGGCCAATTAGCTGGGTCGAGCAACAGACTGGTGTGTGTGTGTCTCTCTCTCTCTGAATGCATATGGTTCTTCGTTATATTATCAATAAATGTGGCATGTTGCCTTATCCCCCTGAAAAAGATCCCGTGTGCTTCTTTTAAGCATAACACATGCCTGAGTGATGCTTCAGAATGCCGTGGCAGCATTACAACCCTGGGTAATAGATAAGTAACCAAAGAGGGATGCAGAGTCCTTGGATGATGCATTTATAATTTCCCCTACCTAGTGGGTAGCTGCTCTTTGATCAGCTGCTGTATTTACAGGATAGTCTTCATGGTCAACCCTCTGATACAGAGACAGTAGCGCAGGGCGGCAGGCAGCTATCCATGGGGGAACTGGTTTTTAAACTGGCTCCCCTCGAGGAGCAGCTCCCACCTGCCACTCCATGCTGCTGCCTCTGTTGGAGAGACAGCAGCGTGAGATGGCAGGGGGATCCCCAGGAGTGCAGCCGAAGTGTAGTGGGCGTCAGCCCCACCCCTGGGGAGTATCAAATAGTAGTGTAACCACTAAGATTTCATTCAATTGCCAGGTATCTAACAACCCTACTATACACGTAACAAATACAGACCAGCAGGTTACTGAGACATGTCTTCAAATCAGCTTAAGCTGGAAAAAAAAGAATATCTAGTTAGTTATGCTAGCTTGGCTTCTATCTCTCTATTTTAAATCTGTCAAATGCAACTTGACCTTATCATAGCACTTTTTTTAAAAAAAAGTGCTAAAAGAAAAAGACAAACCTTTTCCCTCTGCTTAAGAACATTTGGTCTATATTGAAAAAGTTATATCCACTTGCAATATAGAAAAAAAACCTCGAGATCCTGTACCGACACGGCTATGCTGACAACTCTCCTGTACAGGCATAGCTCTGTAAAAAGCAAACATGATTCTGGGATGCATTAACAGGAATGCTGTGAGCAAGACACGAGAAGTCGTTCTTCCCCTCTACTCTGCACTGAGTAGGCCTCAGATGGAGTATTGTGCACAGTTCTGGGCACCACATTTCAAGAAAGCGGTGGAGAAATTGGAGATGGTCCAGAGAAGAGCAACAAAAATTATTAAAGGTTTAGAAAATGTGATCTATGAGGGAAGGCTGAAGGAACTGGACTCGTCTAGTTTGGAAAAGAGAAGATTGAGAGGAAACATGATAGCAGTTTTCAGGTATCTAAAAGGGTGTCTAAGGGAGGAGGGGGAAAAATTGTTCTCCTTGGCCTCTGATGAGAGAGCAAGAAGCAATGGGCTTAAACTGCAGCAAGGAAGGTTTAGGTTGGACATTAGGAAACATTTCCTAACTGTCAGGGTGATTAAACACTGGAATAAATTGCCTAGGGAGGTTGTAGAATCTCCATTACTGGAGATATTTAAGAACAGATTGGATAAACATCTATCAAGGATGATCTAGACTAGTGTTTCTCAACCAGTGGTACAAGTACCCTCAGGGGTACGCAAGAGAAGTCTGGGGGGGTACATCAACAACTGAAATTTGGAGAAAACTGAATTTTTGTTTTAAGTTTTACAGCGCTTTATTATATTTGTACTTTTTACATCCAAAAATTTTATTGCCCACCCGGCTATGATTAAGTTGTTTAAACAAATGTGTTGCAATGGTAGAAAAATTTTGTCTGAAAACTGTAGGTACTGGGGGTATTTATAATTTTTTTAAAGGGTACTTTATTAAAAAAAGATTAAGAAACACTGATCTAGACAGTGCTTGGTCCCGTTCTGAGGGCAGGGGATTGGATTTAATGATTTCTCGAGGTCCCTTCGAATTCTAGCATTCTATGATTCTATGGAAAAGTGTTCAGGGAAGTGGTTTTTCCTACACTCTTCCATCAGTGTAGGTTGTATCTTCACAGCAAGGCTTTGTTATGAAGGCTAAATCAACGATTCTGCTTTTCTCTCACAGACGTTGTAAGCAAGCAACCCACTGGGGTCAATTTGGCCAGTCTAGTGAAGACCTGCTAAATTAACCACGAAACACACGCCCCTCTCAAGTACTCCACCACCATAAGCAGCAGGAGAAGGTAAGTTTATGGGATAATTTCTCCCATGACCCAGTGCAGTGTAGATACCACAATGTCAGCCTAAGATACAGCAACTCCAGTTTAGTAATTCACATAATTGGAGCTGCATAAAATTTAGGTCAACTTTAGCTCATAGTGTACACGTGCCCTTCATTTCTTTCAGACACAGGACAGGAGGAAGAGCCTTCTAATGATCCGCAAACACAGCAGAGCCAGCCTGACCCAGGAGCAACAGTGACGGTGGCTGGCAGAAAGAAGAAGCTGCTGGTCCTTTTGAACTGTCTGAGGCTTATTACTTGTCCGGGTAGACGCTCGATAACAAGTCTAGCTCTGCCCATCTCCCCGTGTGTTACATGAACACCAAGGCGACGGTGCAAGGCCTCTAGGAGGCGGGAGGAGTGTGAGGGGAGAGCCAGCCTGACCCAGGAGCAACAGTGACGGTGGCTGGCAGAAAGAAGAAGCTGCTGGTCCTTTTGAACTGTCTGAGGCTTATTACTTGTCCGGGTAGACGCTCGATAACAAGTCTAGCTCTGCCCATCTCCCCGTGTGTTACATGAACACCAAGGCGACGGTGCAAGGCCTCTAGGAGGCGGGAGGAGTGTGAGGGGGGAGGACGAGCAGGGGCCCCCCGCAAGCCGCTGTTTACCTACCTCACAATCAGCCGGGACAGAGCGGCTTGGCCGGGGG